TCTGGTCACTCTGGTGAACGGGTTGGTCTTTCTGGGCAGAACCTGGCCAGGTTCCAAGCACAGTGAAGTCTGACGCTGTGAGAGCATCTTGCACCTGTTAACTTACACCTCAGAGAAAACCGTAAGGAAATGAGGAACTCAGATGCCGACTCACTCATGCTAGGTCACGCAGCTAGTAAGTGTCACAGGCCCCCCATTTTACCACCTTTGGAGAGTGGAAATGCGTGCGTGCCTGGCCCGAGTTATCCCACAGATGCACATCCTCGCATGAGTAGGCACAGATGTGTTGAAAATATCAGTTCTGGTGTTGTTTGGAGGGGAGAAACCTGCCTACATGTCCATCAGGCTGGACTTGATAAGCACATAGGGGTCTCTCAGGTATGGAGCGGTAGATGGCTGCTAAGAAGAATGAGTCAGCTCTCCACATGCTGGCGACGAGAGAGGGCCACACGTGTTACATGCACGTAAGACATGTTCAGGGTTGTCTGTGAAGAGCTCTCTCTAACACACTATACATACATACACACAGTCACACTTACAAATCACTGAAGCTATATAAACATATATACCTTCTCCTTTTTGAAAAAGAAAGAAGATTACAGGTAAAGCTAAAGCCCCGCTCACCACCACCTTCAATGCCAGCCCCTCTTCCCTTTATAGAGTTAATGCTACTGTAAGATTGGCGTATTCTTCTAATACGCTATGTACTTTTAAATAAATATATCCATATCCATGTCCAGGAAATGATACTGCTTTTTATTTTTACATTATGCACATACTGTTGTAAAGGACTGAAGGTTCTACCAACGTGCTTTTCCCCCTGGTGTCCGTGTGCCCCGTCACACCGATGCACAGAGGTCTGGTGACCCCTAACTGCTGGGTGATAAGGGACCAGGGCGTGAGCCCATTGTCCCCACGCACATTGAGGTCGCTTCTCTTTGAGCTGCCGTGAACGTCTCTGTGCACATGTGTGTTCACCTCGTGGGCTGGCTTTTGGTTTCCTTTTCTCTTCCCTAAGGATGTAATTGTCACCATAGAGCGAGCCCATGTGACAGTACTGCCACCAGTCAGTAGCATTTCTCTCTAATCCCCTCATGCCTTTGCACCTTAGTCCAGTTGCCCTGGCAGCAACAGCAACAACACACCTCAAATGACCCACCTGCCACCAAAGCTAAACTAACACCAGCAAGCTTGGGGCCGGAGCGCCTGGCGTTTATGTGGGTGGTTTCTCCTCCTCTTTCTGGGCACAGGACAGAGCTTTGTTTCCCTAATAAAGGAACGGCTGAGTGTGGGGCCGAAACGCCACCCACTTTGGTGTAATGTTGCCAAATCTCGGGCACTTACTGTGCCAGGTGTGACTTAGCATTTTACTGCTCACCATGGGCTCAGGAGAAGGACAGTGCTGCCCCCCTCTGCTGACACACGAAGAAACCGAGGCACAAGAGGCTGAGGACTTCATCCTGGGTCCTGGTCTTGGGGGCTCCACAGTGCGTGTGTGGGACCCGTGCTTGTCCCGGACCCCTGGCTGGGCCACACGCAGCGGCTCCGTGGGAGCCCTGCCCAGGCCCACCACCCACCGCTGGGCTGTGACTTAGTCCTCTCCTGTGCGCCTGTGGGGAGAGTCCCTGAGCGGAAACAGAAGCCCCGTCCCCTCACACCCGACTTGATGTGAAAGGGAAAAGGCCCGCCATCCTTGGCTGCCCGCGAAGCACAGCACAATTTCTGAGTCTGCCCTGTTCAAGCGGCTTTCACAAGCATTTCAACTTCACAGCAACCCCATGAGGAGGGGAGGACCCTCCCCGCTCTTCAAGAAGAGGCAGGGTGGGCTCAGCGACTTGTCTCAGGGCCCGCGGGGCTGCGCTGAGCTCCATATGCTGGCTTCTGTGACTTGAGTGCACGCGTTTCCTCAGGCGGCATGAGCGGCCCAGGGTGCTGGGGTTAAGCGTTCAGCTAGACCCGAGCACCAGGCCTGCTCTCCACACGATTTTGGCTGAATTCCTTGTTAAACAGTGTTTTCTGGGTCACTTTGTTTGGGTGGCCTTTCAGGAGGCACCTAGCGTGCAGTGGGGGCTGTACCATCTCTGGGAGCCTGGGGTGTTAACTGTGAAGTGGTTTTACCCGCTGCCATCAGTGGCTGGTTCTGTGCGCCGAGGCCACGGAGTGGAGTTTCCTTGTCTGAAGGCGATAGATACTAAGCTAAGGAGGCCCCTGGGTTCTGTGCAGGAAGGGAGGCTCAGACACTCCCACACCTACTGAGGACACCGCCACCCCTAGGGTCCCCGTTTGCATGGCCCTTCTGTCCTTTTGGGGGAAAAGGTAATATGCAGTGAGCCCAGAGTCATGCACGGATGCGAACTATTGATTTGTTGTACATCTTTCCTTTAGAGTGACAGCCCGCGTTTTAAAGAGCATGAATATACCGAGTTTGGGAGATGGATGGATGGATGGGAGACCAGGAGGAAAAGGGTGCCAGGTAATAAGACGACGAGTCTCCGTTCAATACTGAGACATTTGAAAACAGGGGCTGTTGGGAAGCCGGGATACATTTTGGGTCACTTAACCTGGGGCCTTTGGAACTCTCTGTCATCTCAGAAGTCCCTTCTGAACATAGGCCTCTAGAATTCAGGAAGGGGTAGCAGAGAGCTGGTCACCTGTGCACCCCCAGGCAGAAAGGAGTTGCAACACTTTGGCGGGGAGGTGAGAACACGGACAGCCGTGGGTGAGGGGAGAGCCACAGGCAGATATTATGCACATCTGGCCCCCGCGGCTCTCTGAAGGAGCGGTTCTTATCCCCGTTTAATTGCTATGGAAACAGGCTCATCACCTTAGCCCAGGTCACATACTGTGAGAAATGCCCGGGAAATGAGCCAAGAATTGTCCTGTGCCCCTGCACGTGCTGTCTATTGTCACCTTCATTCATTGCTACTCATCAGTCTCAATGAAAATACATCTTACAAAGTTGAACAACGCTTGTGAAAGCAAACTAAGCCAGCATTAGGCTAATAACAACTGGTGGTTTTCTAATTTTTATCTTTTGCTGTCGTCCCAAGTACTGTGGAAATATAGGTGATTTCTAATTTTCTATATTTCTATGGTCCTCCAGGCATCATTACATTCTAGCGCATCTGGACATTTTAAGGGGGCCTGCAGCTGACTGCAAGGACCACCCATGATACTGACTTGAGGAGCTTGTAGGCTTTGGCAGACCATGGGGGGCGGGGGCACTTGAGGAAACCCCCAAAGCCCCAGGTGACCGTGACCGCAGTGTATCCAGGAGACGCAGGCCGAGCTCTGTCACATGTGAGCTTTTTGGAAGCCGGTCTCCCTGACTCGCAGTGGAACAAACGGCTCGGAGAGGACAGGCAATCTGCCGAGAACACACAGAGGAAATGACCAGTTTGGAGTCAGCACGGGGCCTCTGAATCCAGGGGCTCACGTGGGGAACGGTGTTCCCATGTGGCCGCATTGTGACAGGTCTTCGTACAGTCACAGCTGAGCGTTAACCGTGCACGTGTTTCTGTGATGGCGGGAGGGTGTCCCTGCTGTGCCTTTGCAGTTAGTTCCCTTCAGTTGCCCTAAAGGGGGCGCTCTGTCCTTTCCGTCCGCAGGTCACGACTGGTGCGTCATCAAGCTGGGCATACAAGGCGTTATCAGGGGCTTTGATGTGGACATTTCTCACTTCACGGGAGGCTACGCTCCTCGGATTTCAATTCAAGCAGCGCACGTGGAAGAAGGTGCCTTGGGAACCCTTGGCCCCAGATGAGCGTGTGGGGTCGCGAGGCCCCATCCCCTGCCTGCAGTTCCCACCCAGACAGGCCCAGCACCTTGTCAAGGCCGCTTCGCTGCCGCCACATAGCTCCGAGCGCCGACTCCCAGCAGAGCTCTCTGTGGGTTTTGATGTTTAACTTGCCAATGCGCTCTGAGCCTGTTCCTACTGCACTGTCCCCACACTCCGCAGGCCTCCCCCAGAGGCACCGGCGTGTGTGCGGTGAGCGGGGAGGGGACAGGGTCGGGATGCCTGGACGATCTGGACAACAAGGAGCCGGCAGGAGGCCCGGCCGTTCCAGCTCCCCTCTCAGTCCTCCCAGGGTCAGGGTGAGGCAGCCGCTGTGGGGTTTCAGCAGGCTCCTTCCTGCGTCTGTCACACAGGCCTTTCATGTTACACCTGCCTTTTTATTCCTTTAGTTGGCATTACCTGATGTTGGTCCCAGAATGGACTTTCTAGAAATACGTGCTGTTATATGTGTGTATAGACACGTACTTAGGGGAGACGGGTCACGTCAGCTGGTAAGTTTGCACTGAAAGCCCTGTGTGCACAGCCCCGGCTGAGGCTCCGTGGGCTCGGACGAGCTCTGCTCCCGAAACCTTAAGTGACGGTGGGAGACAGGGTACTCTACAAGCAGGAAATGGCTGGTGACGAATGGGTAAGGGTCTGTCAGCCGTCACTTGTCCACGGTGCTTCTGTTTCTGAACCCCCAAGGACCAATTCTAAGGATGCCACCAGGGAGGGAGTGTTTCTGGAACCAACCTTGCCATAGTCCAGCTTTTGAAAACCCGAGTCAGGTGATAAACTTGGTGAAATGTGACTTAACGTGGAGCCGATATTTACTATTCTGAAGCAAACAGGCAAATGTATTGAACTGCTTTTGAAATTACCGATAGTATTTCAAATATTGAGCAACTTCAACAGGTGTGTCTGTTACTTGGATCACCTGGTACTTTGATGTCAGAGATGCTGTCACTCGTGTTATCTGGCACGACGACAGTCACCATACAACCCCTGAGAGAGCCTATTCCTTTCGATCTTGAATGTGAACTGTAACCCAAATGGTCACTCTACCTTCAGGGAAAGACCCGCAGATGCCACAGCGAGGAGAGAGGACAGGAGCTGCAGCCACCCCCGAGGAGCTGGCCGCTGTGGCAGAGGTACGTTTCCCACGTCAGGGCCTGTCAGGATGGCACGGACGTGCCCCCACGCCTGGCCACGTGAGGTGGTGGCACGCACAGCCCTGGCCTGCCTCCCTTCGTTTACCTGTGCAGGGCCACCCCGCAGATGCTCCGTGAGTGGCTCCTGCAGCCCCGGCACGAGGCAGTGTCCCAGGTGCAGGGCTTGTCACAGCTTGGGCTGCTTCCCAGCCACCTGCAGGGCGCTGCCCCTGATGGAATGAACGCAGAAACTGACAGAGTTTAAATACATTTTGTGGGAATTGGACGAAGTCATGTTAAGCCTGATGAACTTATAAAACAAACAATTTGGGCAGGTGTTTTGGTACGTTCCTGTTTTTTAATGTTTATTTGTCCAGAACTAATTTATGTTGTGCTGTACAAAAGCATTCATCCGTAACAGACTAGGAAATAAATATTATAACCGGCCCTTCCGCGTGAGAAGCACGGAGCTGGGAAAAATCGTTGCAGGCTTCAGGCGAACCAAGTCAGCCCAGGTCCCGTGGTCCCGGAAATAGCCCCGGATTTTATTTGAATGTTCACATCACCATCCTGGTTTCTTCTCCCTAAGGATCCTCAAGATGAGGCAGCTGGAGGGGTCTCGGGGCGTGTCCTTCACCTCCAGCCCCCCCTGCCCACGCCCTGCCACCTTCAGGGGCTGTTTGGATCAGGCTGAAAGAAGCCAGAGCCTTAGGCTGTTTATTAAACCTGGCATTGGGTCTTCACTAGTACTTTTATTAAAGTGTTCCATTAGGCACGCATCATTAATTTTTATTCCCCAAATTTCTACCCGACAACCCCCTCCCCCCCCCCCCCCCCCCCGGGCGCCAGCAGGAAAGAATTTATTGTTCCCTGGAGCCATTGCTAACATTTTTATATTTATTGCTAGCTGAAGTCCAACGACTGGGATTACTTGGTTCCCATGACAGAGGTTGATCCAGGAAAGCTTGCTTCCGGCCACAATTATTTTTTTGTTAATTCCCAGCAGAGGTGGACTCACGTCAGACTCAACATTTTCCCAGGTAAATATAACGTGGACCCATCTCTTGTTCTACGGCTTCCTCACTTAACATTGGCGTGTTTGAAAAGTATAAAATGAAGTCACCCTTTCTTTCTTGGTCACTGCTCTCTCTAGCACGTTAAGGTTATAATTTGCCCTTTTTGTTCTCTAGGGAGCTCTTGTTTTAACACACCCGTTCATAGGCAGTTGTCACAAAACTATCGAGCACATTAGGCGAGATGGAACGAAGCTGCGTTAGGGTGATACCTCCTAGGGGTTTCCGTATCACAGGTATATCGCAGTTCAGTGGTGTGGACGAGCCACCCTCATTTCATCTTATTTCGTTGAGCAGTTTTATTGTAATGTAATTCACATAACATGTAATTCACCCACTTAAAAAATACAGTTCAATGGTTTATAGTTATGCAAGTACATGGCTTAAAGTCTGTGTAAATATATAGTTTATGTGTGATCATCATCACAGTCAAGTTTAGAACATTTTTATCACCTCAAAAAAGAAATCCCACATGCTTTAGCTGTGAACCCTCACCCCCCCAGCTCTGAGTAACACTTAGCCTGCTTTCTGTCTCCATACCCTTTGACTGTCTGGACATTTCCTCTGCACAGTCCTTGGTACCTGGCTTCTTTTACTTAGCATAACATTTTCAAGGCTCATCCATGTAAGAGCACCTCATTCCTTTTTACAGCCAAATATCATTTCACTGTATGGATAGACCACGTTGTTATCCACGCCTCAGCTGATAGACATTTGGATGGTTTCCACCTGATGGCTACTGTGACTAATGCTGCTCTAAGCATCCGTGTACGAGTTATTGTTGGACGTATGTTTTCATTGGGGTATATGCCTAGGATTGGAATCGTTGGGTTGTCTGATAACTCTGTAATTATTGGAGGAAGTGGCTGCAGCATTTTACATCCCCGCCAGCAGCGTGTGAGGCTGCCAGTTTCTCCACATCCTCAGCAACACCTGTTATTGCCTGACTTTTGGATTTGGGCCGTCCCGGGGGATGTGAAGTGGTAGCTTGTTGTGGCTTTGATTTGCTTTTCCCTGATAACGAATGAGAATGAGCATCTTTTCAGGTACTTACTTGGCCATTTGTATATTTTCTTTGGAAAAATGAGCTTTTGCCTGTTCTTACATTGGATTTTCATCTTTCATTATTGAGTTATGACAGTTCTTTGTGTATTCTAAATACAAATCCTTTACTCGATGTACGATTTGCAGATATTCTCTCCCATTCTGTCAGATGTCTTTGCATTTTCTTGGTGCTCTCTTTTGAGGCACAACAGTTTTTAGTTTTGATGAAATTCAACTACATGTTTTTTTTCTTTTGTTGCTCATGCTGTTGGAGTCATATCTAGGAAACCATTGTCAAATCTGCGGTCATGAAGAAAACCTCTATGCTTTCTTTGGAGAGTTTTATCCTTTTAGCTCTTGGGTTTAGGTCTTTGCTCCATTTTGAGTTAATTGTTGTGTTCCCCGAGGGAAGGGTTCAGCTTCACTCTGTTGCGTGTGGGTGCCCGTTGTCTGAACCACCTGCACACTGGCCAACAAGTAGTTGACTCACAGACACTCTGCACTTTAATTTCTTTCATCATTTTTTCACTATTTTATTTTAATCTCCTTTTAGAAACATTCTTCTTATGTAGCTCGCCTTTGTTTTCCCCTTTGTAGTGGCACAGTTGTTATACAAAGTACATCTATACATGTTAAAAAACCAATAATACATTGTTGCAATTAGTTGTATAATTTCGTGTCTTCTAAAGAAGCCGAGAGAAGACCGGGGAGTGAGTATGTGCCTATATTTATTTAAGGTTTGGTATGGTAACCTGCCTATTTATCACTTCTGCTTTCTTCATTTGTTTCTGTGGTTTTGAGTTGCCTTATGCAGTCATTTCCTGAGCCCAATACAGCTGTGCTCCCAACAAGTCCTTCTCGCCGTTCCTGGTAAATGCATTGCACACAGATTACGTTTCTATATGTTATAAGCCCCATAATACACTGTGTACGTACGATTTTATACTGTTTCTTTTTAAAGCACTTAAGGGACTGCAGAGGACAGATGCTTTTATCCTGCCTCTTAGGATAATGACAATCGCCTTCCCAGTGCTCCTTGTTTCTTCCTGGTTAGCTACTGGCTGCGTTAGTTTAGTGGCATCTGTTTCACCCTCCCAGGAGGAGGTTCAGGCCTGGGTGCCCGCGGTGACCCTGCGATGACAGTTTTGGCAGAGCTTTCTTTGACTGTCTCTTTCCCTAACCACACCCACAATTAGCCCACTAATTGCCATCTGATTGCTCTGTTTTTTTCAACAATACTTTTGGGCATCAATTGCTCCCCACGCCAACCCAATTAACTCTGAGTTTCTTTGAAGTGACAGTTTTTGAGGTTAGTGTTTGAGATGAATTCTGATCCCAGAAGTCCTTGCTGAGCTCTGTCCTTGTTCTGTCCAGCAGTCCACCTGGCTTCCCACCTAGACAAGGTGTACAGTTTGCAGGCTCTCTAGTGAGTCCACTGGTCTCCTTTTCGCTGCTTTTCACCCACTGTTTTTCGAGCTCGCTTAGGCTTGCGCTTCTCCTCACTCTGCAGCACGTGAGTTCAGTGCACTGGGGAGAGATTTGGAGCTCTCTGTTCTCTGATCTGCTTCTGCCTCCGGCTCTGAAGCTGGGGGTGGGGACAATGGCGCACTTGTCCCTCAGTGACACGCCTGCTCTCGGGGGCGAGCTGGGTGCTCAGTGGGGGCGCGCTGGGCTTGTCTCTCTCAGGGAGGAAGCTCTGCTTTGTGAACTGAGACGCTGGAGACGATGGCCCCAGTATCTCCCCGGGCTGTGAGCGAGGGAGAGCCCAGGAGTGGGGGCTGGGTGGAAGACAGACGCCCCCTCTTCTCAACCACACTCTCTGGGGGCTTACCTCAGCGACAGGCAGACAGGCAGAATGAGCAAGGCTGGTGTCTGGCCCCGCCCAGGAAGAAAGCCGCCAAATGGCTGCTGGGCAGAGGGGGCCGGTGTGCCTGGCTGCGCCGTCACCTCACTGACGTGGAGGTGGACGTGAAGGTGCTGACCTGGCAGTCCCCGATTGTCACTGTTCTTAGAGAGTTTTAGATTTTCGTGAATAAATGTTGCTTCATTTGCTGTACGTCCTCAGGGCTACTTCCAGAGACTTTAAGTGGTGGTTTATTTTTCTCTTGAGTTTTCACCAGCTTCACTGGGGATCTCTTGACCCTCACTTTAGATGCAGTGCGTTTCTGGTCATCGTGCTTTAATGTCAGATGTCACCATGTAAAGAGGAACACGTGTTTGCTGAGACTGAGTGCTCACAGTCTAGCTCCTGCTGAATCACCCCCACTGTGCATCTGACAGGAGTTCATTCCAATGCAGTCAGGTTTTATTATAAATATCAAGATTTTTACCATTCTACTGAACTAATTTCAGATTGCTCAGTTTCACCAAATCTGTCATGTGAAAATCCAGAGGGCTTGGTTTCAGTAGAATACCTGATTAATGGTTTTGAGCTTCTGTATAAAAAAGCTTGGCTTCTCCCTTCTGGGAAGTAATTTGTTTATTCAAACAAATAAAAACCATTCACTTTATCGGAATCAGATAATGCGCGTTGATCTTGTTAGCTATTTCCTGCTCTGTATGCCTAGACTCAGGCTACTGTGGTTCTCAGTAGGTATTTGATTTTGTGAATATTATCTTTTGTATTCTCAACTGCATTGCTAAGCAATGTATTGTTGTAAAAATAAAAATGTAAGGCTCTTGTATGAGTGTGTGTGAGATTTAGCAATGCTAATTTATGGCACCAAACATTATATCTATGGTGAATTTCCCATTGCTTTTTGACTTTCCTGGAGTTCTTAATTCAATAATAATAATAGTAATAATACTAAAACTAATAATAATAACACCTACTGTGTGTCAGGACTGGTTCTCGGTAGAGATGATGCAGAAGTGAACGAGATGAGCAGTTGTTCTCACCTTCATATTATCAGGGACTTAAATAAAAAACGAGGTCCTTTCAGACTGTGATTAGAGCTATGGAGTAAACATGTGGGAGCACATGAGAGACTGAACCTGGGAAATGAGGCAGGGCCAGGCAGAGTGGGGCGGAGATGCCATCAGAGAGAAAGAGGGAAGGCCTTTCTGAGGCGTGACACTTAGGTCGAGACTTTAGAACAAGTGGTCTTTGGGGAGCTGGGAAAGCTATTCCTGACGCGGGAATGGTAAGTGCAAAGGCCCCGGGGCAGCAGGTTCAGCGTGCTTGTGAAACGGAGCAGGTAAGAGTGGAGGGCTTCCACGGTTTACGGTCTACACACAGCTACTTTCCCAACTGAAAAATAACTAGGACCCCTTTCGGTTTCAGATGGTGGAATCGCACGTCTTAGGGTTTATGGCATTGGACAGAAAGACTGGACCGCTACTGACCCCAAAGAACCGTTGGACCTGGTGGCCATCGCTTTCGGGGGTGCCTGCGTAGGGTTTAGTAATGCACACTTTGGGCACCCAAACAAAATGATAGGTGAGAGGACGTTCTAGAGGCTGGCTTTTATTTGGGGTGTCCGGGGACCAGCATTAAACACCCTAGTATGGTGTGACTGATTTAGGAGGAAGGGGCCACCTCAGAGCCTGGGAGTGGATGAGATCAATTGTCCATAATAGGATTTGATGCCTTTATGACAAGAAGTAAATCAGCAGTTTTCCTTCCTAATTTTGGCTTAAACAGTTGCTATAAAAGGAAAAGGAAAATTTACTAACCCTATGGTAGTAGGTGAATTGACTTGAAACATTAACTTTAATGAAATAAATCTATGTAGCAATGCCCAGGTGCATAGGACTGTAATTACACCGACGAACTCATGCTCGCCTTTAAAATGAAATCACAGATATTCCATTCAGCAATGCTCTTTTCGGTAGGAGTCGGCCCACCGAAGTCTGTGGCCGACGGCTGGGAAACTGCGAGGAGGTTGGATAGGCCGCCTATACTAGAGGTAAGACGTTAAACGCCACCATGCTTTTAAGCTTTCTATAAAATGAAGTTTTTCATTTTATATCAAGGAAACACTTATTTGAGAAACCTCTTAAGCATTGTTGTAAAAGCTTATTATTTTCCCACGTTTTCCAAATTTCCTATTGTTTTATTGTAATATCCGGGTCAAGGCCCCAGAGGGCAAACATGCTGGTAACTGCCAGCCAATGAAACACGTTGTTGGAATATGCCCGATTCTTTAATAAAAAGACAAGAGGATCTACAATTTAATGATATAAAACCCAGAATAAATTTTATTGACAGGCCTGGAGAAAAAAACCAGTGTAATAATTTTTAATGTCTGTGTATCCATTGATGAAACCACTGCTGTGCACCTGTGACAGAGGGGGCTGCAGAGGCTCAGCTGTTTAACTTGGCCCACACGGAACTGAGATAAAGGATTCAAGAGAAAAGCGAAATGAAAGAAAACACCTTTCAGTTTGTAAATCCCACTGGAAACTTAGCGGTAAACACCCCTTTCTTGGGTTACTTTGCATGTCACCCACCGCCTCCAGATGTAAATGAGTAAGTTTTCCCTGCTAGAGACGGGGGTTTGACGGGGAGCTCGGGTGTTGGTATAAAGCTGACCAACAACTTCTCCACTTTGGAAGGTCAAAAGAAAGTGGTTAGAGAATCTATGGGCTGGGTTGCATAAAGGTCCTATGGAATTTATACAGAAAATCACGTTAGAAATTTGACATAGAAAATCATGTTAGAAATTTATAAAAATTTGCCAACCACCCAATAAACTCCCAAGTCAGCAATGAGGCATGACAGCAAAAGAGGCAACTGACATGAAAAGTAACTTAGAAATTGGGTCACAGAGAACACTTTTAGAATAAGAATAAAAGAAATAACATAAGTGTCTGTCAACAGGTTTCACCTGCTAGCTTTCGGATTGGTCTCTTGAATGACATTTGCCTTACGTTTTTTTCTTCTCAAATTCCAGAATGATAAGAATGGCATCCTCCTTGTTTCCTGTTGGGAGTGGGCGGTTTTCCGTTTGGCACATCCTGGAGTAGTAACTCAAATTGAAATCGATACAAAATATTTTAAAGGTAAATGGAAAGCCCCGAGAAATGCATGTTAAAAAGGTAACACGCTCCTGTGGGGGTGTTTCGAGCAAGTTGCTTTAACTCTCTGTGCCATAGTGTCCCCCTGTATGAAATGGCAGACTTGAACTGGATGGCCCCCCAAATCAGGCACGATTCTACGATGCTGTAAGGCTCTTTACTGCATGGCCCTGAGTCCCAGGTGGAAAGAGCCTATGAAATACTCCTGTTCGGTCATGAGAAGCGCGGGCTGGAGGCATCTCCCTCTGGGAGGATCCTACGCAGAGTGGCTGGGGCTGACCGCTTGACCCAGCTTTACTCGGAAGGCTGGGAGCCACACATTTTTAAAACTGTGCTCTTCCATCGTAAAAAATGAACAGCATCCCTGATATCCTATACTTACTTTCTTATGAAATACACACGTGTGTTATTATTTAAGAAAGTTCAAAAGAGGTTACTCAACTTTTATAACTGTCAGGAGGAATTTTGATGAGTGCTTCATTGGGTGTCTCATGATTATTTAGTTGTCTCAATACATGGTGGCCGTTTATATTCATATTTGGGATGCCTGATTTTTAAATGTCTTGCAAATCATGGCTTCACTCGATTATTAACAATGATATATAAAGGCACAATATATATTTAAGGAGAAATTTATTTTCACTGGTAGTGAATACAAGTTAATTATTTCAAGAAGTCTTGACACGTGGAACTCATTTTGGAAGACTGTTTATAATCTGATTAGCTGGTCATTGTTTTCAGTTTCAACACGGCTGATGCTCATCCTGAGGTCAGGAGACCTGTCAGCTATTGTCAGGGATGCTTGCATTTCCAGTAGTGTCTTTAATTCACGGTTCTCTGCTTGGATGGTTTAAAATCACTAGTTTATTTTTATGAGGGATAGTTTATTCAAAACCAGGGAACAACCAGAAACTCCGCGTAATCAGGCACTGCAGACTGCAGCATGTCACTAATATTCTACTGTGATCCCCTTTGCGTATCTCTTATCCACATGACAGTCATGGGAACAAGGGAGTGTGCAGTGTCCACTTACGATATCATGTAGGCAAACTTAATAAGTGTACATACATGTGCATGTACATACGTTAAAGCAACAGCAACAGTTGCTCCAATGTTCTGCAGCCTTAGGGTTTGCATGGGCACCCCAGGGCGTGCTCACTGCCTTGGAGACCACTGTTGGAAGGGGTGAGCCACCAGGAGGCACGAGAACAACCGAGCAGCCTCTTTTTGTCAGGGGTCTCGTCAACAACCCTTCCTCTGTTGGTCTTAAGGTCTTGGGGAACCCCTATAGAAGCTGTCCTCACAAAGAGTGTGGGACCCTTCCACCCAGGTCCTCTAACCCCACTGGGCACATGATTCCGATGAAATGCAGAAGAGAGAAGAGCACCCCGGGGACTGTCTATTTGCACCGAGGGAGCTCTTAGAAATCCTGGGTACAGCACATTTGATTGGCGCTAAGCACTGCTTAACTTAGCTCAGCATTCCTCCTTTTTATTGCCACGTTGCAAAATATGACGCTACAGGGAAAATATTTTCTAGCTTCATAATTTCAGATGAGCCACATAGCAATGTGCAAGTAATTAAATCTGCAATCTAGGATGCTCATGGAACACATTCCACTTTCAAAGTCAAATGCCACCCGTTCAATCACCTCAGGTGACAGGCAGCCTCTGAGTCCTCTGAAAAACACTCATCTATTTCATGAGGCAACCCGGCTCTGACACAAACTGGTGTGTTCCTTCTCCCACACACTTCACACCTTTGCTTTCATGGAGAAAGAACAAGGATTCGTTCTTCGCTGGGTGTTTGATCTGAATTAAAACGTCTGACATCCTATAAAGCGACTGCTGAGCCCAGATGGAGTGGAAGTAGAGCAAGTCCCTCTGTTGTGTTCTGACAGGCAATTCCCCCGACAGCTGTAAGTTGGACGGTTGTGTCCTGACGATGCACGAGGAGGAAGTCATGATCAGGGAAAAGTGGGCGCTTCCGGGCCACAGGTGGAAACAGCTGCTTCCAGCCACGAAGGTACAGTGTCCTCCAGGCGGGGCAGGCCTTGGCTACGGCACTCAGGTTTGCTTTCGAAAGGATTCACACAACTCCAAACCTGCTGCTCAGTTTAGTAGTAACATCAACGAGCCTTTAAGAATTGTATCTGCCCGTTTATATAAGGACAGGTGTCCCATCGTCTCATGCTTCTGCATGTTTAACAATCAAATTTTGTTGGGAGTCATGACGTGCGAAGAACATGTATATGGAAAAAGTTTCTGCATTATGTTAACTTTTTAGAAAGGGTAGCTAGCTTATCTAAAGCTGGAACGGTGTGTCCCCCTTAGGGCTGGGTGCTGGATGTGCCAGAAGTGTCTTCTCTGATGGAGTGGGAGGTGAGGGCTGCTCCGGGAGAGGACGGCCGACAGCCTGTAGGACGCACCGACACGTCGGCTGCTGCTTCTCATCAGCTTGTCCACTTACTTAGCTATTAGGAACCGCAGTCATCCTGGGGGCCTGAGTATTCATGACAGTACTCCCAGGGCATTCTTTCCCTACTGGCAGGTCGCTATGGTAACCCAAATTAGTATCAGGGCGTAACTTTTATATTTTGAGGCCCCTAAGTCCAAGCCAGTGGGTTGTGCTGGGCCGGTCAGCCCGTCTGGTCATTACAAGGACCCCTACGTCTGCCTCTCTTTCAGCTGTCTCCCAACGAAAGCCACACGTTCCAAAGCCTTACCCTGCACCTGCAGGACGTCATCACGCACGCGCGGCTCAGCATCAAGCCGGACGGGGGCGTCGGCCGCCTGCGCCTCCGGGGCTTCCCCAACTCCATCTGCCTGCTGCGGCCCCGCGAGAAGCCCGCGATGAGGCTCTCGGTGAAGGCAGGGTTCAGGTCCAACCTGTGACCCCAGACCAAGCCGCGCGTGGGCCCCAGAGCGTTTCAGTCCTGCCCTTCCTCTGAACGGTTTTCAACACCTGAACCTTAAGAAGTTTCTGGCCATTAATCTTTTTAAGATCAGTAGGATTCCTGGTGATTTAATAAAGTGGTCACTTCCCCACTGGGGGCTGCATTTAATGCTGCCACGAAGCGCGTGGCAGTCTGCAAATTGGCTGTTGCTGCGAACGGCGGGTGACCGCTTAAGGATGATGCATTTTTAACTCTACAAGGTGTTGATATTTATAGTTATCAATATCCTGTCCTTTTTCTGTCTGTAGATCAGCGGGTCCTACATCGTCCGTCCTCTTTAGAAGTTTAAGCCCCTCGAAATTACTGGGAAAAGGTATCTCTGGGGTCATCCCTCGCCCCAGTTCTAGAGGACGGGCCTGTCTTTACGCAGAGCAGGGCGTGACCTTCCCAAGGGCACAGGCGCCTGGAGCTGCTCCCCACCGAGGAGGCGCTGTGAGCGCAAACCTTTCCACACGAGGCGCGGGTTTCCGGGGGTCACCCGCGTCCCACGCGCCCCCCGCGCGTCTGGACTGTTCCTCCTCTAGCGAAAGCCACAGCGCCCCTCCGGGCCCTGAGCCCCGGGAGACAGTCGGCTGACCGGTCCAGTGCGCTCTGTTGCTGAGACAAGGAAACTGGGACGGAAGGTCAAGCGCCTTCCAGGACCCGCCCGGTGTTGGTGTGAGGATGGTCCTGGCTGCCGCCCCCCCCCCAGTCCCCTCCAGCTTCTTCTGCAGAGGAAGGTGGGGTGCAGCGGGCGGGGGCACGGCAGCGCCCTCCCATTCCTGCCACAGAGGCACCGGCGGCGGCCGCCCTTCTTTTCCTTCAGCTCTGGGCGCCCCGCCCGCCTGTCCGGCTCCCCGCCCCCCGTCTGTCCCGGCTCACAGCTCCTCGTCGGGGCGGCTGGCGGCGGTCACAATCGCCGGGATGGCGTCAGCGCCGGCGGGGAGCGCGGGCCGCGCAGCCCAGTCCCGCTCGGGCGCCCTGGCTGACCGGTGCTCGCGCGCGGCGTGCTGTGGGCCGCGTCCCGTGGGCGCGCCGTCCTCGTGGCCATGGGTGCTCGCGGGCCCCACGCGCTGGTGGACACCACGCCCGCCAAGACCATCGTGGTGTACCGCAACGGGGACCGGTTCTTCGAGGGCCACAAGGTCGTGCTGGCGCCGCGCCGCGTGGCCACCTTCGAGGCGCTGCTGGAGCAGCTCACGGAGCGGGTGGCCGCGCCGGGGGCCGTGCGGCGCCTGTACACGCCCACGCGCGGGAGCCGGGTGCGGGAGCTGGACGCGCTGCAGCCCGGCGGCAAGTACGTGGCTGCGGGACGCGAGCCCTTCAAGCAGCTCGAGTGAGTGAGCGCGCGTGGGCCCGGGGCTCCCCGGCGGGCGGGGCCGGGGCGTGGGGGCGCTGTGCCCGCCAGGGCCGGGCTCTCTCCCTGCCGTGAGTTACCCAGTTGCTGGCCCCCTTCCCAGAAGGCCGGGACGCGCGCCCCGGGCCCCTCCCGGTGCCAGCCGCAGGCCTGGGTGCAAAGCCGGCCAAGTCCGCGCCGCCTGATGGGGAGGGCGAGCCACCCACGATGAACGTGACACTCAGAGAAAGTGAGACGGGGGCGGGGGAAGGCGGCGGGCAGGCAGCGGCCATCAAACAGGGTATTCAGCGTGGGCCTCTGAATGGGTGCTCTGTGCAGGAGATCTGAGGGAGAAAGGCAGGACAACCGGGGAAGTACCTGGAAGAAGGGGTCAGAGCTGGGTCCCCTCCCCACTCCGGGCCTCACAGCTTGCCCCAGGCTGGCATCCTAGCCTCAGGCGGGCATTCTTCTATGAGCTCTGAAGTGTGTCAGTGGTTCACTGCACCGCTGCCTCTTCTGCTATAGGGTCTTCAGAAAAGTCATGACGCATGTTTGCGACAGATGGCACTAGTTCATGTCTGGAAGTACTAGAGTCATTCGCATCTATGTTACTGCTATGTCATTTGACAACTGACAGTTCTAGCTTCATTCTAAAAAAAATTGAGCGATTTGGTTGGGTTTTGGAGATTTTACAAGTTGAAGATGGAAGACCAAGCTGCATTTTTGCCATATTTTACTGTTTTACTTCCATAACGGGAAGGACGCACATCAAACTTGTGAAAAGTTGCATAAAGTTTACGGTGACAATGTTCTACAAGAACGTCAGTGCCAACGATGGTTCACGAAATTCTGTGCTGGTGATTCTGATCTCAACGACGCTCCTCGGTCAGGGAGGCCCACCAAGGTTGATGACGACAAAATAAAGGCATTGATCAAGTCAAACCCACATTACTTGACACGAGAGATTGCAGAAACATTGAACATCCAACTTTCAAGTGTTCACGACCACCTGAAGAAGCTGGGATACGTAAGCAAGCTTGATATTTGGATTCTGCATGAAGTCAAAGAAGTTCATACATTTACTATCTCAGAATTTCTGTGACCAGGACTTTGGAGCTGCTTAGCCGAGCAGTTCTGCCTCCGAGGCTGTCGTGAAGATGCCGGCTGCAGACACCAGCAGGCCTGCTGGGTGGGCTCACCCACCCGGCACGCGGGAAGCTTCATCCTTGCCCTGCAAGCCTGTTCATAGGTGACGTAGCAGCTGCTTCCTCCAGTGCAGTGATCCAGGCTGAAGCCACAACGTCTCCTGTTACTGTTGGTTCTGTTATGCTGTCTTCTCTCTCCATCACCCAGTTATCTTTGACTGTGTGCTGGACAATACTTTTAAAACTTATCTGTGAAAATAAATTTGAGGCCTAGGATGATACTGTCTTTCGCTGAGGTGGATTTTTGTATGCTGTGTCATCAGTGGTTGGCAATCACCTTAACACAGCTTTAGAGATTGAGATAATTTGGGCCTCCTGGATGGCTTGGTGCCAGGGTGCTCCCTTCTCCTGAGGTGTAGCTCAGGTGGCCCAGTCACAGCGAGGGGCAGTTTGCAGGGAGACTATTGTTGGTGGACCCTGAATAAGTTCTCCTGCCCCCTGGCCGCAGAAGGCTCTCAAAATCATGGCCAGCCTCTCAGCTATCTGTTCCCAGTCGACACTACCCCTGGGACCAAGCGGCCCCCGATAGTGGGCTCATAGCTTTGGACTTCCTTTCTGTCCAAAATGTTAGCCTGGTGATTTCTCCCTGCCTTGCTGAATGTCATACGTTTCACAGAGAGGTTTTTTATTGTGTCCACTTCATTTTTGTGGAAGGCTGGGTCAGGAGCAGAAGCTCACTCTCCCGTTTTCTTCACACTTATTTCCGTTAGCTGTAGGACTCTGTGGATGACAGCGTCCTCCCGTCCATGGAAGTTCTTTTTCCATCGTGTTCCAACTTAGACGTTGCTGATGAGAAATCTGCTGTCATCATTCCCTTCTTTGAAATGAAAATAACATTTGATCTTTTCTGGCTACTTAAGACCTAGTCTCTGACTTCAGTGTACTGTGCTTTACACTCAGTGTCCGAGGGAAGACTTACTGGACTCTTTTGAGACCCTGGTGTGGTAACTGCCGTTAGTTTTGGGAAGTTCTCAGCTATTGTGTCTTCAGATGGTGCTTCTGCCTTATTTCCTCTCTCCTCTCTCTGGAGCTGTGTGGGTGGCCGAGCTCATGACGCTTACCCCAGGAGCCCTCCCCTTCCCACACATTTCCCACTCGCTTTACCTTTGTGCTGTATTCCAGGTACTCCCTTCACACAGATATTCTGGCTACTGTGGACGGAAAAGGGGCCACAGGTGAAACCTGACAAGCTTAGGAGACTGAAACTAAGATGGCGTGAACACACACACACACACACACACACACACACACACACACACAAATTTTAACTAAGTGGGCCATGGTGCGAAGTCATCTTCACTTCCTCATTAAGTTAACCCGTGCCTTGTCAGTGGGCCTGTTGTCTTTCTGTACCTAAGATAACATCTTTAATCCTTTTTCCAGACCAGAGCTGAAAACTGCAGAATTCCTCATTATTATGCTTGTTTCCTGATTACCATCTCTACGTTCTGTAAAATGCTAACAGCTATCCTGCACCCACCTGTGTAAAAGAAGTTCCTGTCTCTCCAACGTACTTTTATCCAATCCCAGAGATTTCCCCGCTTTGCTTTCTCTCACCCCCTTAATCTGTCACCAGTGGATTTCATGTAACCTTCCTCCTTTGATTTTATGTATAAAATAAGCTGTAAAACTGCCATTCTTTGGAGCATTTTCTCAATCCGTTGAGATTTTGCTTCCCGGCAATTGTCGACAGTTTGGCTCAAATAAGCTCTTGTAAGTTTTCTCTTAGGCTGGATGTTTTTCGTCAACGCTACTTTTCCTGTCATGCCAGCACATGTGTATAATATGCTATCAGACCAAGTCACTGAGTTTTAAATTTAAGTATTTAGTTTTTCATTTCTAAAAAAAATCTATCTGGCTCTTTTTCAAATCTTCTCTGCCATTCTTTCATGTTTCTTGGTTCTGCATGTATTTCCCAAACTTGCCTTTTATGGAAATATGGTCCTTCTAAAGTCTGTATCTATAATGCCAGTATTTGAAACCTGTCTCTGCTTTCTGTTATTTTGGCTGGTTTTTCTCTCATGGTTCTTTATATCCTTGCTGGTTTCCTTATTTTTTGACTGTGAACCACTCCTTTTCTATATGGGACTTTATTTGAGGAAGTGCTTTGAGGGCTGAGATCAAGGTGAGATTCTCCACAGAGAGTTTCCATTTTCATCTCCTAAACGCCAGGAATGCCCCCTACCCAAAGCTACTCGGAATGCAACTAGTAGCTTGAGTGTTTTGGGACCACCCAGGTGGTGCGTGCAATTTTGTAAGTGAGCTTGCTTTTGATCCACATTCTTAATGCTATTTGCAAAGATGCAAATTTATTATCCTGTTGTTTTTGAAGAAAAATCCTAAGTCACAGACATCACAGTTGCTAAGAGGTGGAGTTTGGACTAGTGCCCTGACTTTTCAGGTTTAAGTTCATTACTATGATAATCCTGTCATGGATGAGAAGTCATTGACAAGAATATTTTCCTTTGTAGCTGTTCGATTGTGTGATGCTTTTTTCAGGGTTAGCTACTGCCTGCTGTAAAGTGAGTGTCTGTGTCTCCGAAATCTGTATGTTGAAACCTGTAATCCACTGTTTGTTGGTGTCAGGAGGTGGGGCCTTTGGGTGGTGATCAGGCAGGTTATGAGGTGGGTGTCCTCATGAATGGGACCAGTGCCCTCACAGAAGGGACCCCGGAGAGCTCCCTGGCCCTTCCACCACGTGAGGGCACAGAGAGGACACATGGGCTCAGAGCCAGGAAGAGGGCCCTCAGCAGACACTGAGTCTGCCCTGACTTTGGGCCTCCAGCCTCCAGAGCTGTGACAAACCAATGTTTCCTACCAGCATCCAGTATTCAGTGTTGTCTTACTACAACAAAAGAATATGTTTCTACAAAAATTGACTTCAAAGTTCTTTTTAGTATAGGTATGATGAAAATTATTTTTTTCCCCCCAAACATTTTCTTTTAAAGTTGGCATATGTTTTATATGTGAGCAGACGAAGAGGAAACTTGCGAGGCACGGCCGTCATGCCTGGAGCACGCACAGTAGGGCTTCTCAACCCCAGGGTCGCAGAATTGTCTTAATAGCCCTGGAAGGCCTCTCATTTTGTAGGGAGGTTTTCAGGGTTTAGTAAAAACGTTTGGACCTGTGGTAGAAATATGGAGAAAGACTTGAGGTGTTTGCCTTCCCAGATTTCCTAATTTACTTTCGATAAGGAAGGAAATGGGACCCATTCCCTGGGTAGCGGGGGCGGGGACTGTAATGTGGCCCACAGTAGGGCTACTTCTCATCAGCCACCGCACCCTCACTGCCGTGAAGGAGGTGGGAAGGAGATATTTGCATGGGAAGTTCACCAGGGAGAGCCATTTGCATTTCATTTTCTCACTACTTTTTAGACCAGTGAGGTATGAAATCAGAATCCAGACTATGGTGAATAAAGCTCTGAAAAAGGTTTTGGCTCGATTTATGCTGGTGTCTGCAAGCTAGCATTTATTGGAATGTATATTCTATAATTACTGAGCCATGGAGCAGTTAAAATTAATTTTCACCAGCAAATAATCTAATTGTGGCACCAGCAAACGAACTTTGAAGTGAAACCTGATTAACCGTCCCATGGCTTTTCTCACAATGGCTGAGGAATGGAACATTAAAATGACAAACACCATGAAATCGATCCAACACCCAATCATTATTTAGACATTTCCTGCATTTTCTGGATTTAATTGGAAAGGAAGAGCATAATTTTTTCTCTATACAATAAAATATTATAAGCTAATGATTTTATTTATTTTTTAAAAGTCCTGTGAAGCCTAGTGTTCATGATTTATTCTGTGGAGAAAGCCACATTCACAGCAAGATGTTAAATCAGGGCCCTGTGTGTCGTGTGTGCATGCGTGTTTGGGGGAGACCCCAAAGAATTTGAATTATAGTAGGATTTTTCTTATTCACCTTGTGAGTTGTTGAGATACAAAGTGAAAGTGCTGTTTAAATCAAACTATCATAGTTTGTCTACACCTTACCCTTCACTTCTAATCTCCCCACGACCCGTTTGAACCCTGAGGTCAGGGGATCGCAGGGAAAGGAGGAATGTGTGTGGAGAGGCAGCTGGGCCCGAGGGAGAGAAACGTGCGCTCAGGGCTGCAGGAAGACCTGGGCTGAACGGAACCCTGCCTTCCCCTCTCTGAGTCGCATTTAGCAAATTAAATAGCCTTGCTGAGACTCAGTTTCCTCATCACGAAAACGGGGTTAATTCTGCCATGTGGTGCTGGGAGAATGAAATGAACGCGGTCGGCTCCGATGCCGGGCTTGCTTCGGACGGTGGCTTCCTCCTCTTTCCCTCTGGAAGCAGTGAGGACGGAAGGCAGAGAGTAAGGTCCTGTCTGTGCTTCACACGCCCGCTCCCCCAAACCCCAAGGGAACCTCAGCCCAACTGAGAAACCCCTCCACACGTGGTTTAAAGACTCCAGCTCGCTGGATCTCTGAGGAATTCCTTGTTCCCTCTTTCCATTTTGTTTATAAGACTTTGAAATGCAATGTTGAAACAACAAGTGACACTTTCTGTTTTTGTATGATCTTTTTATGCCTTGGTTTTTCTGTATTTATTTTCACTTTTTGTCTCCATTTAACGATAAGTTGCCTCACTTGGGGGATTAATGCTCATAATCAAATATGGAATTTGGGGATTTAAAACTAATTTAAAATCCATTTGATGACTGGAAGAAGAGGTCATCTCAGGACCTGCCAGCCAAGGTGGAAATTGCAGATTTGCAGCCTGAGCTCTGCCAGCAGCCATACTGTGCATTCACACAGTTTTCAAAGGTTTGAATCGGCTGCAACATTTTATAAGGGGAGTTCACAAAATAACACGAAATTTTGGTTTCTTTTGGGAAAAAAAAAGAGGATTTGATTGTTCAAAAGGACCTCTTTTTAGTTGCCTACATTTCTCCATGGAAATGGTGCCCTGAGCTCTGAAACGCTGTGATCTTGGATGGGAAGCCCCTCCCACGAGCTGCAGCCCCACCACTCCCTAATGCCCAATGCGAGTGTCATCATTGGCTTGCCTGGCCCTGTAGGCATCTGAGCTTGTGACTCTACCTCTATGTTGAATGCTTTTAAAAATTTACTTTTCTTTCTGTCTACCAACTCTTAGCCAATCCTTCTCTGAATATTACTAAAATCATCAAAAATAACAATCTCAAATACTTATATATGTATATGTGTATATATGTATATATGTGTGTGTGTATATATACATACTCATATGTACATATATTTATATATATATATATATATTTTAAATCAGAAAGAAATCTTAACAGACATAAACCTTAAGGTATATTATCATGTGAACGTTTTTGTCTTCTTTCTCGAGGCGTATAAAAGGCTCTCCAAAAGCCCCCAAGGGTAAACAGTTGCGTTAGTAGGGCTCATGCACATTTATTCCTGTGGGTCTTTTCTAGTGTTCAGTGTGGGCAGAATAGGGACAGTGACGAAATGCTGCGCGGCAGGAAGGGGCGGTGGAGGTGGCAGGCGCTGGACCAGGGGTCTGGGGCTCTGCTGTGGCTTTGGCTCGGTGTGGGACCCTGGGTGAGCTCACAGTTCTGGGCGTCAGGGAGCTCGTAAAAAGGGTGAATTGAATTAGATGATCTCTGTGGTTCCTGTTTGGTTAACAATGACATCTGAAGGAAAGCACTGCCCTTGAAAAGACACCTTCCCCGAATGATGCCAGTGGTGGCCAGTGTGGAAACCATCTTATGGTGACGTTGCTCTTATTCATCCATGTAGATCCTAGCATTCACGGTGCTCTTGATTTTAGCTTTAAATTGCTGCGGAGTTGTATATTGTAACGCTGAAAAGGCGTCCTCTCTAAAGAGGATCAAAATTTGTATCTAAATGTTTACCTTCTAACTAGGTTTTTCTCTCTCTCTTTTTTTTTCCAGTTATATTCATATAGTTCCCAGAAAACATGCAAATATAAGAAAATTGAAGGAGGTAAGTGTTCACTGCTAAGTACTAAGGATGGGATAAATTGGGTGATTTGGTAAAAATGTAAATGTCAGTATTGAATAATTGAAGTTTTACAGAAACAGCTCTTCACATGGAATGCCTACAAAGGCATGTTGCTCTTGATGCCAGAGCTCACCGTGTGCATGTCACGCTTGTCACAGCACCTAAGTAACTAAGATGACAGGAGCCCGTGAGGATGTTTTGGGGCCACGGGTTGGGAGACAGTCACCTTTGAGGTGTGCTGTGCAATTATTCATTACAACATTTCACTTTTCTGTTGTTTTGGGGTATTTGAAAAGATGGGTGTCAGGAAACGCTATTTTAAGTTATACAAAATTGAAGCTAATTATAATGCTAATTTAACATTTGCCCCATGTTCTCAACATTTTTGTACTTGATAGACATTTGAAAGGTTTATTGGATGGAACGTTCTATCACTCTGTTCACATCACTTGATTTTTTTTTTTAAAAGATTTTTATTGGGGAATTGGGGGATGGGAACAGCGCTGGGGAATTGGGGGAAGGGGAACAGACAAGTTGCTGTCATTTTTGTTCTTCAATCTAGTTGTGGAGGACATCGCTTCACTGGCCCAAGTTGGCACCATCATTGTGCTCTTCCCGGGCGAGGCAGATCAGTCGCCGGCTTCTGGACGGCCGCTCACTGCGGCTGCTGGCCGCTCACGCTGGCTGCTGGCTACACACGGTAGCCCATGGCAACCCACTGCCACAGGGGCTGCAGCCCACGCCGTCGCTGGTGACTCACGGCAGCCCAGCTCCAGGTTGAGCTGTTGTTCAGCATCTTAGCTGTGGAGGGCAGTGTCACTGGCCCTCATATGTGGGATCCGAACCGGGGCCCTCTGGCGTCCCAAGCCAGCTCTTAACCACCACGCCACTCGACCGGCCCCACATCACTTGATTTTTAACAAACAACAATAACAAGCCCACCCCAAACAAAAAAACCTTTAAGATGCAGGAGACCCCTTTTTTAAAATAAGCAGCAAAAATTGACCAGTTTTAAGCCAATTAGCCTGTTGGCATTTAAAACGCAACGTGATTTTTACTTTCAAAAAACAGACTTGTGTTTTGAGGAGTATTTCAAAGGTGAGATGTTTTTAAGAGTACCGACTTCTTTTTGCTATTGTTAAGTTTTCTCCTCCGTGAAATGGAGATGAGGCTCTTGACCTTAAAAGACTGTTGTGAGGATGAAATTATGAGATACACAGAAGGCACCAGCACTAGATAAATGTGGGTGCTCTTCCCCCACATCTCAAAGCAGCGGGACTTCTCCACGTCCTTGAATCAACACCCAGTGTTCCCGTAAAGGACATCCTAGTAGCTCGGGCACTGACTCCAGGTGGCAGGCGTTAGAAGCACTTAGCTGCTTGTCCGAGTCAGCATGTGGGATGAACCAAGGACAATTTATCACTCACCTACTTAAACTGTAACTTGCAGGGGGCAGGACGGCAAGTTTGTGACGAGAAGGTGATTCCGGCAGCCCCTGAATTTCAGGGCCACCCTCACGAGAGTGGGAATGGTGTGCATTTATTCCTAACACCTGGGTATCTGCTTTCCCTCTGGAGCGGGGTGGGGGTGCTGAGAGCGGCGGGGAGGGGCCCAACAATTCTGCAAAGGAGCCCTGGAGAGCAGTTATTTGAGTTTGAGTCTGTTTTCCCCTTGTACAATTCAGTGATTTAAAAAATAAGAAATGATCACAGGTAATAGTGAACATTTTAGCACAGGAAGAAAGGTCCTGGGTATCTCACCACATGAGTCGGTGACCAGCCTGATATGAACAAGCGTCTCAGACCTACAACACCCCCAGGAGCCATGTCCTCTTAAAGTCGGCGTGAGATCGCCTCACATGATGAGACTACGGCTGCCCGAAAGAGATTTGTAATTGTTTGTTTTTGAATTTATATTTCTTTCCTTTAAAAATCTAATTACAAAAGTAGTTCTTGTTGAGAAAAATGTCAGAAATGCTCTGTAGGAAAGCTCAGTGAAGAAAATGTTGGCTGTCACCCCTTTGGCGCGACCTTGCTGACCTTGGCGAGTGGCCTTCCCACCAGGAGCTCCCACTCAGTCAGCTCAGCTGTGGTCTCACGGGGCACAAAGGAGACCCGAGCAGGACATCTCAGCTAGCGGCAGCTCAGCCAGGAGCCCTCATGAGGGCCAGCAAGCATGTTCCCGGCTCTCCAGAGAGGGCGGAATCCTGACTTTGAGAATCATGATCAAACTTTGCAAAGTACAGTAAAACCTTGGATTGTGAGTAACGTGGTTTGCGAGTATTCCACCAGACGAGAAAACATTCTAATACATTTTAATGTGGTAAACGAGTGATGTCTTGCAATACGAGTAGTTTGTTTCCGGAACGAATTATGCTCGTACACCAAGGTACTACGGTATATGACATCAGCTACGTCAATCATAAAACCTTAGTCATTGTGTTCTTGTCACGTAAAAAAATACAAAAACTTCCAAAAGCTGGAAAATAGTCCCAGCCATGTTGTAGACACACTAGCCTATTCTCTCCTTGGGAGCCCACGCGGCAGCGTAAACCGGTGGCGGGGTGGGGAGGAGGGGGGGGGGCTGAGGAAGGGCGTGGAGGGCTTGCCACATTTCTGCCGTCACGGTGCCGGGGACGAAGGCGGTCGTGGCCTCCTGCCCCTTTCTCATTCCTCCAGAGCAGCTAACCTGCTGAGACCCTGACACTCCTGGGGAGGTCAAGTGAGCTCTCCACTCCCTATAGGCCTTTTGCGAGGCTCTGGACGATGTGCCATCTCCTCTCGTGTTACCTGTTCTGAAAGCAAACCTCTTGAGGTATGCATGACTTTCCTCCATCGCAAGCACGGAGAAACAGAGGCTTAGGGTGGTGACACAACTTGACAAAGGAGACATAGCTAAGAAGTGACACAGCCAGTGCTGGAATCATGAATGACTCAAAACACATACCCCTCAATGTTATATCAGCATAGGTTCAAATTCCCATTTTTCTAAAAATGACAATAAAATAGTCTTTGAGTCTTATCATGTTAGGACACATAATAACCATGTACTCTTGGGACAATCAGATAGCCTCTGTGATTCCTTGTTACCTGGATATCGTCCCTGGCCACATGAGGATTAAGTGTGGGTGCATATAAAGGTGTGGACGCAGGGCCTCACGCGTGGTGGGTGTGACAAACCACAGCTGCTGATTGGGGACATGCACCTGTGGTGACTTCCGGTGCCTCCCATCATGGTAGACCAGTTCTAATTACCTGGGACGCTTGGTCAAGAGCTCTAACCCCATCTGAGTCCTTCAGCCTCTCAGGCCAGATGAGTGACATGAGCTTTTGAAACTGTCACGACCATCAGACAGTTATGGAAAACTACAATTGCTTGACACTTCTTAGGAGATTATTACATGGAGTACAGGGAAAAAATCCAGAATCATGTATTTAATTGCTGGAGTTATTTAATTAGGCAGGTGACATCAGGGTTAATGAATCATTAACACATAACATGAGCAATTAGCTTGTTTCCATAATTTTTTTTTTAAGATTTTATTGGGGGAATTAGGGAAGGGGAACAGTGTTGGGGAATTGGGGGGAGGGGACCAGCCAAGTTGTTGTTCTTCAATCTTCGTTGTGGAAGCCAGTTGCCATCTGGCTTCCCGTCGGCAGCTCGAGGCCTCTAAGCTCAAGGTGCTGTGTTCAATCTTAGTTGCGGGTGGGCACAGCCACCATCCCATGCAGGAGTCGAGCCAGCAGCCTTGTTGTTAAGAGCGCACGCTCTATCCACTGAGTCATCCGGGTGGCAGCTCAGCTCAAGGTGCCGAGTTCAGTCTTAGTTGCGGGTGAGCGGAGCCCACCACTGAACAGGCAGTCTTGTTGTTACACCAGCTGAGCCATCCTGCCACCTGTTGGCAGCTCAGCGACAGCTCAGCTCGGGCACAGCCTCACTGGCCCATGTGGGAATCAAATCGGTGGCCCCATTGTTCAGAGCTCGTGCTCTTAGGCCGACTCTTAACCAACTGAGCCGCTCGGCTGGCCCTGTTTCCATAATTTTATGCAATCAAGCAGAATGCAGTCTCTCAGGGTAGCTGCACCTTAATAGAATTGTGCAGAGGATAATTTCTGTGTTTTCAAGCTCGGTCTGTACATTCATGCTTGTTGTTGATATTCACGGCGTTGCTTTTTTACTGTTACATATAGCATGATGGTAGGATAACAATGGACGTAGGCGTGCATTACCCAGTCAGCCTCGTCTGCTGTGCGGCCCCCTGCACGCTGCACCTCCCACGTGGGCCTTTCCTGCAGGCGATGCACAGCCCCCGCCCCACCCCCAGCATGGCCCTGGCTGGATCCAGCCGTCCCTGAACCCCTCCTGGGTCTCTCCTGTGTCTTTGGCGAGCGACACCCCCACCTTTCCTTAGGATTGGGGGGTGGTGCTGTGCATAGTGTTTGTTAGTGTGAACTGAGTCCTGAGCCTGCTTTCTCCTTTTTTCAGATCAAACCAGTGGTGCCCTGTGATATCAATGTGCCTTCCAGGTGGCAAACGTGTCATCATCTGTCCCGATACATAAAGTGAGTACATGTTGTGGGAGAGAAACTTGGGGACCCTCAGATGACGCGTGGCCAGACAGACCCCTCCCCTCCTCCCCTCCCCTCCGGCTTCTCTGCCGGCTAGCTTTTCTTTCAGGACCCCTGGGGGGTCAGCCTTCCCAGTGCTCTGCGTTCTTTCTCTCTTGAACCTGGATTTTGGAAAAGCAATCCAGGTGCCATGTTGCTCAGAACAGGTGACGTGGGGGTGAAAGCACACCATGCAATCTTAGGCTTTTAATTCCTGTTGATCTAGCAGCTGCTGGATGTTGGAAGGAAATGTAAAAACAACTTTTCCACCGTGAGCCTTTACCACCAAAAGGCCTGTAGGGTCACAGGACGTCCTTGTGAAGCATTGCTCCAGGGCCCGATGTGTCGCAGCCTCTGCTGCTGGCTGCCCTGGGAGCCACCGAGGCTGCAGGCACAGTGTCCCAGCGGAGTGTGTCCAGGTGGACTGGGACTGTTTTTGGGCCAATCTCTGGGGAAAGAGAACACACTTGACTCTGACAAACACTGTTCAAATCCTGCTGTTCGTCTTCCCAGCTGTGTGAACATCCACGCACTTCCTCTCTGTAAAGTTGGACTGACGCCCCACCTGCACGGCTGGTGACTCTCCCGAGAGGCCCCGCCCAGTGCCCGTCATCAGCAGGACTTCTCCACCTGCGGTTCTTCCTGCCAATCCTCCTTATGTTGGGGTGTTTTCACATTTTAGGGGTTAGAGGCCCCGACACGGAGGCGGCGCTAGTGCCGTGCCTTGTACCATGCTCTGCTCCCAGTGGGAATGTCAGCGAGTCTCCGAGTCGTGGGCTCTCAGGGTCAGAGGGACACTGGCAGACACGTTTAGTCCTGGCCTTTGTCAGCCAGTCGCCTCTGCCATTTTCCTGTGTGATTGTCCTTCACTCTCGTGCTGACCAGCAAAGGGGTGGAGACCCGGGGGCTGGAAAACCCCTGCGAGACCTAACAGAGCCCCAGATTGGGGACCTGAAGGACAAAGGGACCAGTTTATTAGCCAAACTGCTCCTCTCAGTGTCCTCAAAACAAAAAGATCTTTTCTTCAAAACACCTTTCCTTAGGCTTCTGCAAGGGAGCCACTTAAACACATAAATCTTCTTTTATAGAAGCCTTTTATACATCTGAGAGCTGTTTTGAAGTAATGAAATTGTGCTTTTTCTAAACACATGGGCATGTCTTTCTGAAGAATGTAGAGACATCTCAGGGCCACCTTTGGCTTATGGGCCTGTGGGTCCTTCCTGGCAAAGACACGCATCCCGAAAGCCATGTTTTATTGCAGGACCCAAGACATCAGTGAGTCTCACTTATTTGGACAGACTTTTTTCCTATTATAAGCCATTTACTCTCTCAGCATATGCTCCATCCTTTATATCGGTGTGGTGAAAATCCCACTAGATGGACCCAAATATCCATCCAAATGCAGGGTCTTTTCTGTAAAGAAAAGACCTGATTGTGTTTGTGTGGACATCTTGTAACTAGAAGAACCAACACAGAGTCTTCGATGTTGGTGGGGGAAGGGGTTTTGACCCTTCCCCATAAGTGAGGGGGCCGAGGCGGAGGGCCTGGTGGTGGAGGAACTCAAAGTCTGCAGCAGCCCAAGTTGGAGAAAGAGCCCAATGCCCTGACCGTGTGGGTCTCCCAGGGTTTAGCTGGTCGGGACCACGTGCGCGTGAACTCGCCATCATGGAGGCCAAGGCTCAGATTTATGTCCTGGTTCTGTCCCTAACTGAGCTGTATGACGTGGTAAATTTTAATTTAATTTTTAAAAATTTATTTTCAATTACAGTTGACGTACAGTATTAGATTAGTTTCAGGTGTATAACATAGTGATTAGACAGCGGTCACCCCGTTAAGTCTCATACGGTCAAGTTCAGTAAGTGGCAGCCATTCATCATCGTTGTCACCTGACTAAAACCCATTGCTAGATCCATGTGCTATTTCCTATTTAAAAAAAGTTTTAAAATATGCCCTCTTAAAATATTTTCTATTAAAATTAAATATCACATTAGGAGGTCCATTGACAAAGTAGTTTTTATGCTTTTGACTTTTCTTACTTCAAAGTTATTTTTTTTAAAGTTAACTTTTTTTTTTTATGGCCAAAGTAATTTATGCTCATGGTAAACACCAGGGGTGCCCCAAAAATGTATACAAGTGGGCACTTTGGTCAACGTTGTTCAAGCAGTAATTCCCGTATTCAGAAGTGTCTGGACGCTGATGGGAACCACTTTGAGCACCTCTTGTAATTGCAGAAGTCAGACGTGACTTGTACTCATCTCGTGTTAATATATTTTGTATATATTGAGTATGATAATTTTAGTACAGTTTTTATTTCTTAAATGTGTATACATTTTTTGGGTACCCTCTGTATACAGTTTTGAAAGGTATATAATTAAAATAAGTCTTCCTCCCACCTTCTATCCCCAGTTCTCTAGTGACTTCCCAGAGGCAACCAGTGTTAGAAGTTTCTGGAGCCTCCTTGGAAGGCGGGCTATGCTTTTATAGGCGTATGTATATTGTATACACTGTTGTCTTTCTTCCTTTTTTTCACCACCCAATTCATCAAGGGGATGGTTCTTTATCAGCACAGATAGACCAGCTGTGCTTTTATTTATTTATTTAAAATAAAAAAAGATTTTATTGGGGAATCGGGGGACGGGAACAGTACAGGGGAATTAGGGGAAGGGGAACAGACAAGTTGCTGTCCTTTTGTTCTTCAGTCTAGTTGTGGAGGATGTTGCTTCACTGGCCCAAGTTGGCACCAT